ATTATCAGCGTGGGAGAGCCAAATTTAACATAATTGTAAGTGAACGGCCAAAACCCAGAGTTAGTCACCAAAAGGAATAAAACATAAGAACACACTCTTCACTCCAGCAGAGCCCAATTAAGCCAGGGGCTAGCCGGGCAGCTCCCCAGGGCGCCAACCTATGGAGGGCGCCTGATTGAAGTGGTAAGGGGCACCGCATCAGGCACCCCCCATAGTTTGCCTCCTGGGGGCATAGCACCCCATATACATCAATCAGGTGCGTGCGCCCGCTGCCCAGGGTGCAAGAATGGCTCAGGCCAGCCCTGCGCACTCCAGATGTACCAGTTCCCTCTGTAACCCATGAGACCTACTCTCCTCACAGAGCTGAGGGTGTCTTAAGGAGTCCCATTGGAGTCTCTTTCGCTACAGGGGTAGTAATCAAGTAGGAACGTAGTCTGTAAATGGCTATTAGCCAGGATGGGTAAGGAATGGTGTCCCCAGCCTCTGTTTGTCAGAGGGTGGAGATGGATGGCAGGAGAGAGATCGCTTGATCGGTACCTTTCGATACACGCCCTCTGGAACACCTGGCATTGGCCACTGTGGGCGACAGGACACTGGGCTGGATGGACCTTTGGTCTGACCCAGCCTGGCCGTTCTCATGTTCTAAATGTACATTAAAAACATTAAACCTAACCAGTGTCCTAAAGTGACAAGCCACAAGAGTCAGAGGGGGAGTCATGTTAGTCTGTAATAAAAATGATTAGTCTTGTAGCACCTTAGCTCTTAGCTCAGCACTGTTCAAGCATGTCTACCCTACGAGGTTATTTCAAAAGAAGTGATTTCGGAAAAACAACTCCTGAAATAACTATTTCGAAATAATATATCCACACTACAGGGAAGCCTCAAAAGTAGTCCGAGGCAGGTTCCTCTAATGTGGACGTGCTAGATTTAGAGCCCCAGCAAGCAGTAGGGAGTAATTAGTCTGAATGGCCCAGAGGAGTCGTTATTTCAAAATAGCAGCAGTGGAACGTCCACACAAGTGCTACTTTGAAATAACTGTTTTGAAATAGGTGTTATTCCTTGGGAAATGAGGGTTTATGATTTTAAACTAAGAAGCCCGTTATTTCAAAATAATCCTATATATAGTAGTCCAATGTCTGTGACTCTGTAATGCTGAAATGCTGTCTGTTGCCTCTGGGTGGCGCTGTTGCCTCATTCACGTCAACATTTCAGTGTTATAGAGTCACACTCAAGGGGCTATTTGGGCTCCCCCGTGGTGGGAGGGAAAGGGGGGGGCCGGGCGGTGATGTACACAGCCCCGCCCCCTGGCCATGTACATCACTGCCCTGCCCCCCTCTCTTGCGGCAACCCGGCTGAGCTGGCAGGAGGGGGAGAAGAGAAAGAAAGAGATGGAGAGAGGGGCAGGAGGCGGAGGAGAGATGAGAGGGAGGGGAGGCAGGAGGAGTAGGAGGAGGAGGAGAGAAAGAGAGACACGGACATGGAGGGGAGGCCCGAATCCTGTCTTATGATGGGCTATTGGCTAGTACAAAATAATGGGCTTTCTGTGAGGGCACTCGCCTAGTGTTTTGAAATAAGAAGAGTTATTTTGAAATAATGCTGTACTGTAGGCACGCCATTAGTGTCTATGGTACCACAGGACTCCTTGGTGTTCATTATAGCCACAAGATGTCAGAGCACGTCAGTATCGGAGATTAGTAGATTTTTTGTATTACTCAATTTTCTTTCTTTTATAAAGGAATTAATTACAATGTGTATGCCAGCTAATTGCTAAATTACCTGTCAAAATAGTAGATATTTCAAATGCGTAAGTAGCCATTGTAAGGACAGTTAGAGAATCTAAAATGGCTCCCTTGCAGCATGGGTTGGGGGAGGAGGAGGTGATCCGGCAAGTGAGGAGGAAGGTGAGGAGCAAGCAAACATGGGCAGGGTCTTGTGGGGAAGAGGAAAAACAGAGGCCGACATGCCACAGGAGAGGTGTGGCTGGATACGATCAATTAGATGGATGGCAAGTCTATCTGTTAATGTGTTCCACACAGGCTGCTTTCCCAGTTTGATATGCTGACACAGCACAGTAAGATCGGGAAAATAATGAATGTCCCTTTGATTGTCCAGTGAGTGATTCAGGGAAGAGGGCCCACCAACATATCACCAGCTAGCTCTGAACGGAGCTCTGCCCGAGAGCCAGAGACCCAGGAGAAAACATTAGGCCCTTTTGTAAGTCCACAGATGGAGCAGCCTGTCCCGGATCTGTCTGGTCCTCACCCCATAGATGAGTTTCAGCAGCTCTTCCCCTCCCTTTCCAGTTACAGCCCTTCTGTTTCCATGTGTTCTCGAGAATCTCTCTCGGAAGAGAGGCAGAGGCAAAGCCAGCTGTGGACGAGCATAATTTCCTCTCCCAGCCTGATGCAGACTTCCCATTAGGCCAGACTTCTCCTGCAGAACAGCCGGGCAGCAAGCAGATTGACAGGTGACCAGGCCATATGACTGTGTCGCCCCATGAGTCAGTGGGAGCAGGGAACCTCCCAAGCAAGGGCCCATCCATTGCCCTTGCAGATGGGCCCTGTCTGGCGTTTCCATGGTAATCCCCGACATGCCAACCGAGGGAGTGACCCAAAGCAGCAAATATGAAATTCAGATACACAGGCCAAGCGTCCTCATCTTCATCCCCAACTATGACACACGTGCACACATGGGAGAGTCACATTCAGTGAGTCACAGCCTGTCCAAGGACGTCCTACATGAGCCGTGTTGCACAAAGCATTTTTCTGTTGCGTCATACACATCTCGTAAGCATAAGGATATGGAATGCCCCAGAAGAAAGACAAACAGGAAAACACATTATCAGCGTGGGAGAGCCAAATTTAACATAATTGTAAGTGAACGGCCAAAACCCAGAGTTAGTCACCAAAAGGAATAAAACATAAGAACACACTCTTCACTCCAGCAGAGCCCAATTAAGCCAGGGGCTAGCCGGGCAGCTCCCCAGGGCGCCAACCTATGGAGGGCGCCTGATTGAAGTGGTAAGGGGCACCGCATCAGGCACCCCCCATAGTTTGCCTCCTGGGGGCATAGCACCCCATATACATCAATCAGGTGCGTGCGCCCGCTGCCCAGGGTGCAAGAATGGCTCAGGCCAGCCCTGCGCACTCCAGATGTACCAGTTCCCTCTGTAACCCATGAGACCTACTCTCCTCACAGAGCTGAGGGTGTCTTAAGGAGTCCCATTGGAGTCTCTTTCGCTACAGGGGTAGTAATCAAGTAGGAACGTAGTCTGTAAATGGCTATTAGCCAGGATGGGTAAGGAATGGTGTCCCCAGCCTCTGTTTGTCAGAGGGTGGAGATGGATGGCAGGAGAGAGATCGCTTGATCGGTACCTTTCGATACACGCCCTCTGGAACACCTGGCATTGGCCACTGTGGGCGACAGGACACTGGGCTGGATGGACCTTTGGTCTGACCCAGCCTGGCCGTTCTCATGTTCTAAATGTACATTAAAAACATTAAACCTAACCAGTGTCCTAAAGTGACAAGCCACAAGAGTCAGAGGGGGAGTCATGTTAGTCTGTAATAAAAATGATTAGTCTTGTAGCACCTTAGCTCTTAGCTCAGCACTGTTCAAGCATGTCTACCCTACGAGGTTATTTCAAAAGAAGTGATTTCGGAAAAACAACTCCTGAAATAACTATTTCGAAATAATATATCCACACTACAGGGAAGCCTCGAAAGTAGTCCGAGGCAGGTTCCTCTAATGTGGACGTGCTAGATTTAGAGCCCCAGCAAGCAGTAGGGAGTAATTAGTCTGAATGGCCCAGAGGAGTCGTTATTTCAAAATAGCAGCAGTGGAACGTCCACACAAGTGCTACTTTGAAATAACTGTTTTGAAATAGGTGTTATTCCTTGGGAAATGAGGGTTTATGATTTTAAACTAAGAAGCCCGTTATTTCAAAATAATCCTATATATAGTAGTCCAATGTCTGTGACTCTGTAATGCTGAAATGCTGTCTGTTGCCTCTGGGTGGCGCTGTTGCCTCATTCACGTCAACATTTCAGTGTTATAGAGTCACACTGGGGTGCTGCATGGGGACCACGGTGCCCAATCGGCTGCATGCTCCCCTGCGGCGGCCCGACTGAGCGGCGCAGAACTCAGCCGAGCGTCACGGTGGGAGGCGAAAGGGGGAAAGAGAGAGATGGAGAGAGGGGCAGGAGGCGGAGGAGAGATGAGAGGGAGGGGAGGCAGGAGGAGTAGGAGGAGGAGGAGAGAAAGAGAGACACGGACATGGAGGGGAGGCCCGAATCCTGTCTTATGATGGGCTATTGGCTAGTACAAAATAATGGGCTTTCTGTGAGGGCACTCGCCTAGTGTTTTGAAATAAGAAGAGTTATTTTGAAATAATGCTGTACTGTAGGCACGCCATTAGTGTCTATGGTACCACAGGACTCCTTGGTGTTCATTATAGCCACAAGATGTCAGAGCACGTCAGTATCGGAGATTAGTAGATTTTTTGTATTACTCAATTTTCTTTCTTTTATAAAGGAATTAATTACAATGTGTATGCCAGCTAATTGCTAAATTACCTGTCAAAATAGTAGATATTTCAAATGCGTAAGTAGCCATTGTAAGGACAGTTAGAGAATCTAAAATGGCTCCCTTGCAGCATGGGTTGGGGGAGGAGGAGGTGATCCGGCAAGTGAGGAGGAAGGTGAGGAGCAAGCAAACATGGGCAGGGTCTTGTGGGGAAGAGGAAAAACAGAGGCCGACATGCCACAGGAGAGGTGTGGCTGGATACGATCAATTAGATGGATGGCAAGTCTATCTGTTAATGTGTTCCACACAGGCTGCTTTCCCAGTTTGATATGCTGACACAGCACAGTAAGATCGGGAAAATAATGAATGTCCCTTTGATTGTCCAGTGAGTGATTCAGGGAAGAGGGCCCACCAACATATCACCAGCTAGCTCTGAACGGAGCTCTGCCCGAGAGCCAGAGACCCAGGAGAAAACATTAGGCCCTTTTGTAAGTCCACAGATGGAGCAGCCTGTCCCGGATCTGTCTGGTCCTCACCCCATAGATGATGGGGTTCAGCATGGGGGGTAGCAGGAGATACACGTTAGCAAAGAGAACGTGGAAATACAAGGGCACATTGTGGCCAAATCGTTGTGTGAGTAAGGAGAAAAGACATGGGATGTAAAAGGCTAAGATGGCACAAAAGTGGGAGCCGCAGGTCCCCAAAGTCTTGACCCGGGCATTCTTCATGGGGAGGCTGAAGATGGCCCTGAGGATCTGGATGTAGGACACCGTGATAAAAAGCACATCCAGACCCGTCACAAAGAATACCACAAAAAGGCCGTAGGAATTACTGATGCGGATATCTGCACAAGCAAGCTTCACAATGGCTATGTGCTCACAATATGTGTGGGGGATGATGTTGGTTCGGCAATATGGCAGCTGCTTTACCATCCAGGGAGTAGGCACTATGAGCAGGCTGCTGCGCAGACCCATGGCCAGACCGATCTTGGCCACCACAGTGTTGGTCAGGATGGTGGAATGTCTCAGGGGATGGCAGATGGCCACGTAGCGATCCAGCGCCATGGCCAATAAGATCCCAGACTCCATGGCTGAAAAGCAGTGAAGGAAGAACATTTGGGTAAGGCAGGCACGGAAATCGATCTCCCTGGCATTGAACCAGAGGATGCTCAGGGTTTTGGGGAGGATGGAGGTGCACAGGACCACATCATTGACAGCCAGCATGCAGAGGAAATAGCACATGGGCCCATGGAGCCTTCTGTCCATCTTCACAACAAACAGGATGGTCAGGTTCCCCAAAACAGCAATGATATACATGGCGCAGAAGGGGATGGAGATCCAGACATGGGCTGCCTCCAGTCCAGGGATGCCCAGCAGGATGAAGGTGGAGGGGTTGGTGAAGTAGGTGGTGTTGGAATCTGACATGGAGTAGGGAAGAAGGTGTCCTGCTCTGAGGCAGAACGGTGTTTCCTGCGTGTTGTGTGTACCCAAGGTCTAGGGTGAAGGTTGCAGTGACAGCACCTGGAGAAAGAGACAATGTTAGCTGGAGAACCAACATGCACTATTGTAGGTTGTTCTCATGGGTGACACAGACTGGTCGCTTGTCACACACTGAAAAATGACATTTTCATTATTCAGAGCAATGTATTATGAACAATGTGTAAGGGGACTGTTACCCCTTACTAAAACTCTGTGGGAGTTTTTTGGTTTGCCAGCTCCCAGCTTCAGAAGGGGAAGGGTTCATGAGACTGCCAGACCCCAGAGACAATGGAAAGCAGCCAACACTCCAGCTCAGCCTGACTGACAGGTTGTAAGCGGGGATTGTTCTGGCTCTCTCTGAGCAAACAGAGAGCTGAAAAGAGTAGTGCAAACTCTGTGAAGAAGTCCTGCAGTGACAGAACCAGACACAGACAGCCCGAGCAGTGCAAGCTGTGTGCAGAAGAAGTCCTGCAAAAAGAACAGAGAGCTGAGACACTGCTAAGAGGAGTGCAAGCTGTGCTGAGGGGCAGTTTTGCAGCAGCAGAGCCAGGAGTACACAGCACAGGGAGTGCAGACCCTGTGTTGAGCAGCAGACTGGCAGTGCTCAGAGAGCCAAAAGGAACAGAGAAGCAACCCAAGGAGCTGGAACTGGCCAAGCAGCACAGCCTGCAGCTGGATGTGGTGAGCACTTGGGACCAGCAAAGTGTGGGGAAAGGCTCTGGACTGGGAGAGGGGTCTGGCCACTTCAAGCTTGAGACTGTGTGGTCACTACCAGAGCTAGCGTGTCCAGCCTGTAGCCCCTCCTACAGCATATCCAGAGCCTCTAAGAGAGAGACTGTGGACTGTCCTTACACTCTGCAGGCTGCTGTTTTGATGTCCCTGTGCTACAGAGCAGGGCTGTGTGTTCTCATCTAACCATTCTCATTGTTTCTTATTCTTTTCTCTTTAATCCATTGATGTTTAATAAATTGTATTTGCTTTGAACCTTATGAAGTGATCACTGGGCCAAGAAGGCCTGCAGTGTGAAGAGAGCACCTCGGAGCGGGGACACCCTAACTCCTGCCCCTAGTGACGACAAGGTCAGGGATTAAGCCCCAGGAAACCTGGGTCCAGCCTTGTTGGGGTTTCGAGGACTCTGCTACTCAGAGTGGAGGGGGAGCCCTCAGGATCAGGGAGCCGTGGGGTAAAGGAAGTGGGAGCGGGGACTCAGATCCTTTCGCTGGTTCATTTCACCGGGGTGGTATAGAAGCCAGGAAAGTTCCCCACAAGAGCGGGACCATTCCCCCGCTTACAAATGGACACTGCTAATGCTAATTCCACTTTTGATGGGGCCCATTGTGGCAGTAATTCCTACAGATCCGGGGATGGACAACCTTGATAGGCACCAGCAAGAAACACGAGCGTGGATACCAGCTTTCCCTCATTGTTCCTTACTGCAGTGAAATCTGTGAGTGTAAAAAAAAGTGTCCTAGAGAACTGCCAGGCTACGTCTAGAATGCAGCCCTTTTTCGTAAAAGGGATGCAAATTAGACGTATCACAATTGCTAATGAAGCAGGGATTTAAATCTCCCCCGCTCCATTAGCATAAAGACCTGGAGCTTTGCCGGAAAAAAGCGCCAGTCTAGACGTGGATCTTTTGGAAAATAAAGCCTTTTCCGAAAGATCCCTTATCCCTTATTTTAAGAGAGATAAATCCCCGCTTCATTAGCAATTGCGATACGTCTAATTTGCATCCCTTTTACGAATCTAGACATAGCCCCAGGGAAAACCAGCTAATATGCCCTTGGGAGAAAACACCAGCTTGTGAGCCCGCCAATATACAGGGAATATCTGGCAAATGTTATGAGAATGGCAGAGGCTGGCACATGTCTACAGATTGAAAATTCTGGGAATTTTTAGTTGAGGGAAGAAAGAGAGAAAGGAGCATATGACAGAGGAGAATAAAATAAAACTGTGGCACAAATAATGAGAGAACAGATTTCAACAAGTAACATCAATAGACACTTAGAATTTCTGTAGGGCTATGTCCCCAAAGCTGAGGGAAATTATCATCCACACAAGTTATTTATCATAAAAAGTTCTTTACTTGTTCTCATACCATAAAAACTAGGGGTCACCAAATAAATATATTGTCTTTTGTTTATCTACCCAGCATCTACACCCTTCGCCCAGCGGAAGGGTCTGTCCTAGCTCAGGTACTCTCTGTCCCACAATCTCCTTTCACCATCTCTGACCTGGAATATTTCCACAGTGCCATTGAACAACACACTATCCCACAGAAACCATTCTTCCAAACCTACAGCAGGACCAAATACCATCTAGATCATCCCTGATAGATGCCTGTCTAGCCTACTCTTAAATACCTCATGAGAGGTCATCGAGTCCAGTCCCCTGCCCTCATGACAGGACCAAATACTGTCTAGACCATTCCTCATAGACATTTATCTAACCTCCTCTTAAGTATCTCCAGAGATGGAGATTCCACAACCTCCCTGGGCAATTTATTCCACTGTTTGACCACCCTGACAGCTAGGAAGTTTTTCCTAAGTTCAACCTCCCTTGCTGCAGTTTAAGCCCATTGCTTCTTGTCCTAGTCTCAGAGGCCAAGGAGAACAATTCCCCACCACCACTATCTGTGACACCCTTTTAGATACCTAAAAACCAGTATCATGTCCCCTCTTAGTCTTCTCTTTTCCAAACTAAACAAGCCCAGTTCCTTCAGCCTTCCCTCATAGCTCATGTTCTCTAGACCTTTAATTTTTGTTACTCTTCTCTGGACCTTCTTGAAATATGGCTCTTGGAATGTTCTTAAGTATACTAAGAACAAAAGATATCTTAGAAAAGGTTTAGAACAATTCCTAGAGGGAGAAAGGAAACTTATTAATGTGGCACAAAAGGTGGATGTGTTCAAGAAATACTTTTGTTCAGGATTTCGAAAGAAGCAGGGTGAGATGTTAACATTCCATGAGGTGTTGAAATCCTCTCCAGGCTGTTAGCAGTCAAGGAGGAGGTTAAACATAATCTAGAATAGAATCTTTGAATTATGAATGCCAGAGTTATGAACTGACTAATTAACCACAAATCTCATTTGGAACCAGAATAACAAGCAGAAGGCAAAAGAGCCTCCCCTCTCCAAAAAAGTAATTACAGGGCCAATCTCTTTTAACTATAAAGTATTAAAAATGAAGGGAGTGTTAAAAAAAAAGACATGTCCAGGTTTCAAAAATCTACAGTCTGGTATGGGGTAAGTTAGGAAAACTTCCATGACTATGCTAAATTCCTTTGAACAACTGGGTTTATGGAATACAGGTCTTGTCAAGTAAACCTAAGTTAATCCCTTAAGTAGAGTACACATTTGGTTGATCAAAAGAACAACACAGATGCAACTGACTTTGATTTCTCCAAGGCATTTGACTTAGTAGGGGAAAACATTCAGGTTTAAAAAAAATGAATATTCTACAATATCAGTAGAGTGCAAGGAAAATGGACTAAAAACGGACTCACTGAAAGATCTCAGGAAGCTGTTGTCAATGGGCAATTTTCAGCCAATAGCATGTTTCTAGTGTGATCCTACCTAGATCAGTTCTGGACCCCAGCTCTTCAATGTTTTATCCATGATGTGGAAGCAAACAGAAAATTGCTGCAGATGATATTTGGGTATGAGCCAAAGCGGGGCAGGGTGGCCCCAACGAGGTGGCCAGGGCAGGCACAGTGGTCGATCTGGAGTATTTTAATCGAGTTAAATGCAAATTGTCATCTCAGAGCAGGGAATGCAGGTCTGACCCACCGTCTAAGCCGTCACAGGTATTATGGGACCCTGCTTTCAGAGTGATGCTCTGTGGAAAAGATCTGATGGGATCCTGGGATGCATGAATGGGGGGAGGGAGGGGTGTTACCCACCAGCCCTGTGGTCGTGGGGAGCCAGGGAGTGACATTCATGGAAAACCATCCCCCCCTTCTCCTAGGCCTCTGCTGGAATCAGACAAAGCAATGGAAAGGCCGGGGAAGACACACCTAATCTCACTAAGGAAACACCACAGCCTCATCTGCATTGAAGATAGAACTCATTAGCATACAGAATGGAGACCAGCTCTTCCAAGGCAGGAACTGCACTGAACTATGGGATACCGAAAGCAGAGAAGCACGGCCTGATGGGAAATCTAAGCTCCAGATGCTAATGAACGCAGGCCTGCTCACCCCCAAATTAGTCAATATCAGACCAATTCTAGTAACGATCCTATTGACATCTAAAATACTGAAACTGCCTAGTTGCATTGTGAGCTCCTTCGAGGAACATCACTCATAACCAGGGGTGATCAGTTTCTGTTGTCTCACTTCTTTCTCTTTGATCTCTTGTCCTATCCCTATAAAAACTCCTATCTTTGCTTCAAGAAAAACTGTTCTGATACCTGGATTTAAACTGCATCAGTTCCATTGAGACTTCTTCATCTCCTGTCTGACCGTGCTGGGGGCTCTGTTCTGCTTGTCTCCTTCCCTCTGGATCCCCGGCTACCATCATCATCTGGGAACTCCGATCAGTGGAAGCTCCATAGAGTGGTGAGGTCTCTCTCTCTCTATCTCTCCTCTCCCATCAACAAGCTCTCTAAGCATAGCCTCCTGACCCTGCCTATGTAAACTGTTGTATGGTTACCTAACATTTGTAATCCGTTTCAATTTAGATTTAATATTGTAACTGTTTGAGATCTATTCACTACTCAGAAATAAATCACTTTCATTATTAAGCTGGTTACTTCTCTCTCTCTTTCTTTCTCTTTTGCTCACTCTTCCTCAAGGGGTGTTGTTTTGGCTTCCCCATTCGCTCTGCAACAACACGTCTTGCACCTAAGCTAAAGATCCCTGTAGTGCCCAAAGTCCTGTGGGGTTTGCTCATTGTGCGGTTTACCAGTGAATGATTGTGCTGTGAATGTGGGGCTAGGGAACCTCAG